ATGGTAAGGGCGGATATTAATGGGTTTGGCATTTGGAAGTAGAGGAATAGTGTGATCAAAAGCCCTGGTGGGAGGAAGAGAAGTGGGAGTGGCAAAACATCTAAATAGGTGGCTAATAAGGGTTTCAAGAAGGCTGGAGTGGAACTAGGGGTTGGAGTAGCTTCAATGGAAAATACAACACCTGTCAAATGCGAATAAGTCTTCTTGAGGAGCTGCTGGAAATGACGCCCAGACAACATCTTACACTACCCCTCTTTAGATAAACCCTGAAGTTTCAATGTGCCCCCCTTCCACTCAAACGAAATATGTTCTCTGCTTAAGGTCTTGAAAGCACTAATGGTTTCCAACCAATCCGACCTTAATACCAGATCGTGAGAAGGAAAATCAAATGTTTGTACATCAAACCCAAACTCTTGCCCCCACTCAGTTTGGCAATTCAATTCTTCAGCCCTAATCGCATTCAAGAATGTATGCGAACTACCAGTGTCAATCAGGACAGTTACCTTGTTGTGGCTGGCAATAGCTGGAATGAGCAGGGAATTACCCGTGAATCCTGACCCCATAGTGTGCAGAGAAACTTCAAGCTCTGCATCCTGAAAATCTTTTTCAATCCCCTCATCACCCAATTAAGGAGATTCCTCGGCCTACATAACCTGGAGTTGCTTCTTTCTGGCACACACATGGCCATGAAAGTATTTATCTCCGCATTTATAACAAAGGCCCTGCCCTCGAGGAACAAGGGGACGCTCGAAGAAAGAAACAGAAGGAGACTGGGACTGAAGCTTTGCGGAAACCATAGCAAAAGCACTTGTCAAGCGAGTGGACAAAGATGAAGACGCTTTGGACTTATTTTTACGAGATTCAATGGCCGCCTCCTCCAGACGCGCTTGGTAGAACGCACAAGCCACCGTAGGCGGATTCAGCACCTGCACCGGGGTTGAATCTCGTCATCCAATCCCCCCAAGAAAATGAAGATGAAGTAATGCTCGTTCAACTCTGGATTAAGACGAAGCATCCTCGAGCGTAATTCTTCGAACTCTTCTTGATAGCGAGAAATGAAGCTCGTTTGGCGAAGGTGATTGAAAGAGGCTACCACGTTCATCTGCTCCTATTTATCAAATCGATGGAAAAATTCGTCGACGAAGTGCCCCCAAATCAGTGAAAAACGCCGGAAAGACCATCATTCGAACCACGTATAAGCCCGGCCTTCCAAATAATAGGAGACTAAGTCCACCTTGTGTTCTTCGGGAATCTAGTAGAGCTGGAACAACTTGATGCATTTGCTAACCCAAGCATGTGGATCGGTGTCGGAGAAGTAAGAGAACTCGAGATGGGGGTAATGATCAAGAATCGACGAACGGCGTTGCTGGTGACGAAAATGCTGAGGCTCGCCGAAGGTACCAGCATCGGCGCGAGGCGGTGACTGAACCGACGACTTCTATCGCCCGCGAGTGATGGAAGCCGCCAATGCATCGATATTGTCTTTTGTTGACGCAACCAACGCAGAAATAGCTTCCTTCAGATCCTGATGCTGCGTACTAATCTGCACACGAACATCCGCCATCTGAGTTTCCAAATCAATAATCCGAGAAGTGTGCGACGCCATTGCCAGAGTTCAGGTCTCTGATACCACTTGTAAGGATCGTGAATGGGGAATCTGGCGAATTTGGGCGAAAGGAAGAAGAAGAGGATAAGGATGGAGCGGAGGAGAGTTTCACTTTTATTACTAACTAACTAATCGTAAAACGTCTCTCCTATTTATACTTGTGTCTTTCTGTACACGTCATTTGTCGTTCTCGTTGACGAGGTAGCAAAGTAATCGTGTTTGTCGGTGCAACGCGATGGCCCGATCCCCCTTGTGTAATGGCCCAAACTGAAAATTTTACTCAATTTACATATCTATGTACCATGGTCAAATCCCAGCTGCACGAATGAAAATATGGGTTGTATATGTATAACACTTATGCAATACCATTCTACGCAACACCTTCACAAAAGTTTACTAGTTGTCCGCACCTTCACAAAAGTTTACTAGTTGTCCGCTTGCCCGATGGGGAGCGGATCCAGTCAATAACTATGCATAACTCAATTAGAATCAGCCACATCAGCGCCCCTTCTCTCTCCGGAAAAACATTTAATTTTCCCCCTTAATCTTTAATGAACGATTTCTCACTCGTTTTATGCTGAAATTTAATATTTTTTGCACAGTTAGATCAGATTAATTGTGCTTTTCAAAATAATATCCACTTTGATATATTTTTGAAAAAAAAAAATTGAGCAATTTTTTACCAGTCTCTACCATATGGTATTGGCTGATATTGATAAGAGCATACCTATGGTATGAAAAGCGTACCATGGTGGTATGGACAAACCAAGACTGTAGGATGGTTAAATAAATGATAGTAGAATTATATTAACTATCATTTGCGACTTTAACATTGTGTACCACAAGATACCACCCCGTACCAGGGTGGTATTGTGTGATATTTTTTGGTCTTGTATTTTGTTCACAGAAAAATTTGTAGATCCAAATAGATCATGATGAACTCGTTCCTTTAGTGCAAAATTTTTTAAAACTGAATTAAAAATGAAGAAGATAACATATAGTATGCAGTTAATACCGAGAGGCAAGAATTTTTTTCTCAAAAAATATTGAAAATGGATCTCATTTTGTAGAGCACAACAAACTCGTTCCATCTGTGCAAAAAAAAAAAATTTGAAATCCGAGTTAAATCGAAGAAGATATGAGTCGATTAAGAAAACAAGCCAAAATAAAAATGTTTTTAATTCTCAACCCTTAGATCTGGATTTTCTGAATAAAGAGTACATATTTAGTTACTTATGTGTGCATAACTCATGGTTATGCACGGTATCTTGAGCCCGCTTGATGAACGGCAAATGTCATCTATTTGTACTTTTCCTTCTATTATCTATTATTTTCTTTCAATGGTATCAGATTCCTACTTCTCATATTTTATGGTTAATACCATATTTTTGCCCGAACTATACCCATATAATCAACTTTGGCCAAAGGTTTCAAAAATTGCTATTCTAGCCCAACTATACACCATATAGACTAATTTGGCCTGACGCGTCAATTTCCGTCAAATTAGACGATCAACAAGCGATAATGAATCAGCATGTAGTGCTATCGTGCATGCCATGTAGATGGAATAAATTAATAAAAAATTAATCATTTAATAAAATCAACAAAATCCTCCTTTCTCTCATCGCCGAACCCTTCTCGGAGATGCCGCTGCTGAATAACCAAATTCACCATCTGAGAATTGCAAGCCATGGCTTCATTGAATATCGATTAAACTCGAGGTTGCGATCGTTTTACTGCCAAAACGCCATCACGTGTGCTTGCTCAAACGGCATGGAAGATGGAGAAGAAGCAGGCTCGGCAGTTTTGGGTGGCTTGATGTTGAGCGCGGAAACAAATTTTTTTTTTTTTTTTATTACCCTGGAACCTCAGCCCCACTTGCCACTTTGTGACAGTGGTCCTACTAAATCTGGGGGCCACCTCCAATCAAATTCGACACCAACGCGACTTCGTCCCCAGCAGCCTTGCAACTTCCAAGCCTTCACTATCGTGACAGCTTTACCGTTAGGCTATCTTACCTTTTGGTGAGCGCGCAAACAAGTTGGGAGAGGGTGATGAGGAAAATGGAATGCAATTACAGAGTAGAAAGAAAATAGGGTAATCATCTCTGGCTCCCTTATCCTCATGCTTCACTGTCGGTCCTGAGTTGGTGTTGGTCCAAGATCTCGTTCCTGTAGGTTTGTGAGATCTCGAATTGGACTCAGATCTGTGCGGGAAATGCTTCGCCCAATATTGTGCTTCTTCGAATCCGATTGGTGACGTGTTGATCGCCATTGCTTAATTTTGAAATTCCGAGATCGAGAAGAGAGAGAGTGGGAGATGCGGAGTTTTTTTTTTTTTGTTCTTGTTCTCGAGAGCTTGTTCTTGAGGAAATGAGAGAGGAGAAGTAATTCAAAGTCTAAAGACAGAGAAGAAGCTAAAATTGGGAATCGAATCCAAGAGAGATAGAAAACGTAGGCTTCAAGTTGGAGTAACGAAAAATCCGATCAAAATCTTATCCGAAGGCTTCAAATTTTTTTTTTTAATTTTTATGGTTGCTATTTTATTATATTATGAAAATGAGATAATGAAAATAATTAATTTTGATTTTTTTATTTATTTGGGCGCTGACGAGGCAGTGAGCGGGACCGTTGACCGTTAGTCAATGGTGTTGACCGTCAAAATTAACAGTCAAAACACGCGTTCGGCCAAACTAGTCTATATGATGTATAGTTGAGGTCAAAACACGCGTTCGGCCAAACTAGTTCGGGCCAAAATGAGGTATTAACGCTATTTATTATTGTTATGTATTATCCATGTTTCATCTAATATGAGGGGCGGTACATTTAATCCAAGTTTTAATCATGATCAACAATAATGTTAACATAGCTGTAACTTCATCAACGCTTGAAAAATAGTATTCATGACAATCGGATCCTTGATTGATCAACCATTTTCAACTTCATAAGTTGTACATGGTTGAAGCTAGCGTACATCACCTTACCGTACTCCTATCGAGTTTTGCTATCTAGATCATGAATTAACGGAGTTTGGAACATGATACTATACCATAGACTATAATGGTGAACCCCAGTCTCTAATTCTCTAATCCAAATCGTACGATTCAATTAATGCAAAAATAATAACTAGTGATTCTAATTTGTCAAATATATTAAAGTATAACTAATAGGTGTGAAAGAAGGTGTATATTTACACCTTGAGTGTACGTTTGCCTTTGCCACCATTATATTAAAGTACAACCAAACTATTCTGCTATGCTTCTATATTACTTTCAATATTTTATAAATGATATCAAAACAAAATGTTAGTTATAGAGACACTTTGTCTTCGCTTCACATTATCATCCAATAATAAAGAAGCACGATTTTTACTATTTTCACATTCTGATTTTAGGGTTTTCGATATTCTAATCCTTTTTTTGTTTTTGTTTGCGTAAATCGTACCCAAAGCCGAGAGGGACCTCTCGATCTGTTCAAACCAAATCTCGATCTGACCTTCCTCGCCGAAATGACGGCGACGAGGGGTGGAGAACGAGGTTGCTAGCGATGGGAGTTTACCCCGTCGACGACGACGATCGACAACCAGACGAGAAAAGAACGAGGAGATCTAGGTAAACTTTTGGTTTGCATGTGGAATTTGGTTCGATTTTCTAAAAGGTATGGATTTCTGGTATTTTTTCTGGTTTTCGGTTTTGGGCGAGGGGAACAAAAAGGGGTCGCTGATGATGGAGGCTGAGATTTTTGCTTCTGTAATTTTTATTTTGTTAATTTGGATCTGGGTCGGATCTTACCTCTACTCTTGTTTTGATGCAGGTCATGAAAACGGACGGATCTAGGTGAGGTTCTCTTAATCTCGGTTTAGTATGGTTAGGAGTTTTAATCTCAAAACTAGATTATTGGTGGTGAGTTTGAAATACTTTACAGATCTAGATTTTAGGAAATATGGTTGTATATGCCCTCTGATTGTTTTACTCTATGAATCAAGTTACTTAAGAATCAAAGTAGTAAAAAAATTAGAAGCTAGCCAAAGATCACCGCCACTGCTTGCCATCATTAATACTAATGAAAATAAAGTTTTCACTAATTTTATTGTTATTGGCTTGACTGGGACTTTGTGTGGTTTTCGATGGTTTTTTATGTAGCTTTCAAGATACTAGAAATTGCCGAAAATTATTTTCTGTATGGAGATGTAATTAACATGCTCTAAATTGTTTATCTTGACGATTATAAATTACTGCCACTGTTAGTGATTTTGCTAGACTATGGACTAAATCACTGCTACTGCTATTGATTATACTCTAAATCACTACTACTGCTTGTGATTTTATTGGATTAGAATTGGTGGTTGATTTGAAAACGGGCAAGGATTTATGAATCTGAATTTTCGTGTGGTATGGTGATCGTTGTATCTGGCTCTAGACCAGAACCATGAATTTCTAAAAAATGGATTTATCCTATTTCTGTGAAGCTTTTTTGATTTTGGACGGTATTCTAATGTTTGGATTCGGTTTCTGGGTTTTTAGTGTCTTTCTTGAACTCTATTTTGGTAGGCTCTACATATATAGGTTTATAGTTTTTAATAAAAAAGCTATTACATTTTTTTAGATATGAAAGCAAATACTGATTAGCTAATAGATTGAAAGCGATGAAATAAGTAAAAAAGGAAGTTTGACTAGCTATTGTTATGTAGCACATAAGTCAAAATAATAGTATGCTCTCGAAAGAGAAGGTAAATTAAACAAAAATAAGTTGCACAACGATAATAGCAAGCGCTTAAACATCTCAAGTAAATTAACTAATATAACAGTATGGTGATAGAGACAGAACTGGAAAGAAAGGCACCAAATACGAAGTGAAGTTTCATTACGAATATAGTAGTCGGGTTACATAGCTAACCTCGTAGGATTCTTGCTTGAGAATTCCCCCTTGCTACTTCTACAACTTCCAGTACTCTCTCAAAGGGGCAAAAAAGAGAAAGACTATCTCTAAAAAAACAGCAGCAGTTTATTCTGTTTCTCCAACGGTTCTCTCCCATTAAATACCCGTCCCCCCAAACAAGGAGCCAAAGAGCTCATTTATAGCAAAAAGAACACGCAACGTGTCACTTGATCATTGGTCCCTGTTAAGACTTGGAATGTCGTGCTTCTTTCTGATTGGTCACATTTTAATGTCATAAGCTAGACGAAAGTACTGCGGAGGTAAATGATCGGATAAAAGGATAATCTCTTCGGCACAATGTGACAGACCACCAAGATAAAGTTTGAGCCTATGGCCATTTACCTTGAATTCTCCTCTTTCCACATTGGCAATTTAACGACTCCATATGGGTGTACTTTGGTGACCATAAAAGGTCCGTACCACCTGGATTTAAGTTTCCTTGGGAACAATCGTAGGTGAGAGTTATAAAGTAGGACCATATCACCTTTGTTGAACTCCTTGTGGTCACGTAGTCGGGAATCATGAAACCTCTTTGTTCTTTCTCGTAAATGTTAGTATTTTCATAAGCCTGAAGCCTCCACTCCTCGAGTTTCATTAACTATAGCTTTCGTTCATCGCCCACAAGGGTTTCATTGAAGTTGAGAAGCTTAATTGCCCAATATGCCCTGTGCTCCATTTCCACCAGAAGATGACATGCTTTTCCGTAGACGAGGCGATATGGAGAGGTGACAATTGATGTTTTGTACGCTATTCGATAGGCACATAGAGCATCGTCTAATCGTAGGGACCAATTTGTTCTTCATTGTGAGAAAGTCGTTTCAATGATTCGTTTCAACTCACAATTGGTTAACTCTACTTGGACGCTTGTTCGAGGGTGATAAGACATGGAGACTCGATGATGAACACCATATGTGCTTAATAACTTCTAAAATTTCCCTTGGAAGTGCGTACATCGATAACTCATTATCGCCCTTGGAGTGCCGAATTGAGAGAAAAGTTTCTTCAAAAACTTGGAAACTTGGCGGGAATCATTCGTTGGAGGTGCATGAGCTTCGGGCATCTAGATGCATAATCCACCGCTACAAGAATGTGTTTGCATCCAAAAGACGAAGGGAAGGGCCCCATAAATGCAATACCCCAGACATCGAAAATCTCACATTCCATAGAGATGTTCTGAGGCATCACATCTCGTGATGAAATATTTCCCGATCTCTGACATTTATCACATCTACTGACTCGCTATGAGACAACACCAAAGTACGACCAAGTGTAATCGTATAGAATGGAAATGTAGAATAGTGGTTCACTTTAATTTATCAACCCGGGGTCTAGATCAACTGCATACTCCGTAAACTTCCATTATCTAGCAAACTAAGTGTAGTGAGTAGTTCAATTGCAAAATAAACAAAACGCAAGAAATGTTCCAGTTTTCCAAGTATGTTAAATGTCATCCAGGTATGTTTCCCCCTAGTATGCAGCTAGTTCAGATGATATATTCCCAATTTGTTCAAATTGAAAGATACACTGTGGAAAGTTCTTGACAAGTCTAGAATCTCGACTGAAGACGACAAAACGAGCATCCATGGCCGCCTAACGGTCGTCAAGCGGCACAGCTGATGAAGAACCGGCACCAAGGTCGAAGTAAGCCCCCAGTGGCTCGTGGTGATCAGGAGAAGGAGGATCGACAGCACCAGGATCGGCCTCCATCTTCTTAGGAAACTCAGTAGGGCGGAGGCCCTTGAGCCAACGAATCACGGGTTTGGTCCTAGCGACGCGGATCAGGCCCATAGAACATAGGGTCTCGCCGGGAAAGGCTTCGGTGTGCCCGAACCAGGTGCAGCCGGCAAGAGGGACTCAAAAGTACCGGTCGATGCGGGTAATGTACGGTCCACCGTGCAGTGTGTAGACCTTCGAGTGGAGGGCCACTCAAGAAAAAGAGATCGCCAAGGTGGAGCTGGTGCAGCGGATCTGACATGGTGATCAGGGCGTACATGTGCCTCTTGGTCACCTGGCTGGATACAAGGCACCTCAGCAAACTGGTGCAGACAGATATGCTCGTAGAAAGCCTGAAAGTTCACTTGCGCCACTGTGGGCTCCACCAAGTGCATCTTGTTGGTGGTCATCCCAAGTGCCTGGCCGAACTCCTCGTACGACAGAGAGAGGTGCTGCCTGCCGAGTCGGAAGGAGACGGTTGTGGCATCAGTGTTGCGGCGCCTCCGCTCATGACGGAAGATGTTGTAAAACTCCACCATGAGCTCATCGTAAACATCATCATGGAGCTCCAACAATCGCCGCCACTGCTCGTGAGGAACTGTCTCCTCGATCGCGGCGTGGCAGAGAAACTGCTCAAAGTAGGCCAAATTGAGGCAATAGTGGTCCCCAATCTGCGCCACCAACATCTTGGCGAAGGACTCGTCGTAGGCCTCAATGTAGCGGAGCTCGTGCAGAAATGGGTGGTCCAGGTTGACCATTGTCATGTAAAAGCAAGAAAACACACCTAGAAACTCGTCAGTACCAAACGAATTGGGGGAAAATAAGCCAGCAGAGCCAGCATTCCCCATACTTAAGCTCAATCCAAACTATGGAACAGAACTAAAGGCCCCCAGGACGGGGATACTGCAGGACAAAAGCACATTTATCTAAGATAGTCCAGGTAAACATGCACTCAAGCAATCAGAAACCCGACCAGTCTCCCGCCTAATCATCTAAGCAAGCAAAATTAGTTCAAGCCCACCTACACTCTACAATCCGATTCGTCCTAATCACAAAATCAGAAAAAATGATCAACCTGGAGACGCAAGTAGGAGAGTGGAGCGGGGGAGACGATGGAAGAATGATGCACAAGGGCAGCCCGGAAAGCCTCATCGGAGGCGATTTCCGGCGAGGAAGAATGGCACCGACAGAGAGGAGACTAGCAGCGGTGAGAGTGGCTCGCCGAGACGATCGCAGCGCTGTCGACCGCTCGCAGATCGAAGGTCGAGAGCGGCGGTGGCGAGCGAAAAAACGCGTGAAGGATTCAGCAGCGGCGAAGACGAAATCCGGCAAGGGAGATTGGGTGCGAAATGCGAGTTACGTCACGTAACTTGGCTTTTTATAGAAAAGCAAGATGTAGACACTCCATTTTGTTCGGGCTGATACATAATCAACTAGGAAACTTTTAATTCGCGAATACTGATAATTGCGAATTTTAAACGTCTTTTTATCTAAATATTTAAATTATTACAAATTTGTAAGTGTTCAAATCGACTCAACGAATTGGCAATAGCCAATCTAAGATGGTCTGTATGGTTCAAGGTTGCGGTGAATTTGACCAATTCAATGCCACATGAGTTATTTCAATGGAGATCAATTCAATATAGTTGATTCAATCAGTCTCCATTGAAGTGATAAAAGAATATACAATAAAAATAAAATTTCATCATCATAATCGATTACAATTAATCACAATAGTGATTACAATTGGTACAAGAAAAGAATTTGGGCTCAAGTCAAAGCCCAACCAAAAATTCAACGTTCAATGAAAATCAGAGTATGTAGTAGGGCTGGGCGTGCGGGCGGATCATCCGCGGGTTTGGACCGACCCACCCGCATTTGACCCGAATTTCATTAAGTGGGTGGGTCTGTGGGTGGGTGACGGGTTGCGCTGGGAGCCATCCGCTGGGTGGTGGGTGGGTTGTGGGTGAGTGTGCGGGTGACCCGCTCAACCCAACAGCAAAAAAATCAAAGTCGTTGGCGCTAGAGAGAGGAGAGTGGAGACGTTAGATATAAACTCAGACTGCTCCTGGAGTTTGAACCTCGAAGCCAACCTTCCAAATAGAGATCCCCTCTTCTTCCCTTTACTTTTTCCTCTTATTCTTGTGCCTAGATCAACGTTCTTTCCTTTGTGGAATTATTTTCCTTAGTTCCTTGCACCTAATAATCGTCTCAATCTGTAGAAAACTCTTTCATAATAGAATTTCTATCCAATTTAAGAACTAATTCTACATTTTTCGCCCTATTTCAACTTCTGGTTTCCCTCGATGATTCTCTTCACCTATTATCATATCAAGTTGACTCCTTTATATTATATAAATTGTGATGTGGGTGAACCCACAAACCCACCCGCATCATCCACCATCCGCCCGACCCAACCCGAGACTAAATG